GTAGTTTCCTTCCAAACCTTTTGTTTAAGACAGTGTGGAAAATGAACATCTTGATTATATCATTACTTTCCTTTCCAGTTACACGTGCTACCAATTTTAGTTGTTAATGTTATGAGAACCAATCAAGTGGTTTTTTGTTAATTGGTAAAGCACTACGTTTGTAACTTTGTAGCGACAATCTGTATGTTCTTTAAGACGCAAAAGGATTCATTCACTTGAAGCCATTTTTAATCATTGATCTGAGAAAACAGTTACATACGGATTATAGTTCGGACATATGTGTGGGGGGGTGCACTCACATCATAGCAGCAGAAATAGCCTCGTGTTCACAGGAATAAAAACATACACAGAAATAACACTAACGCATGCTAAATTATAAATTAAAATGAAAGAATTTATTTATTTTTGTGTACTGGGGTGTGTGTGTGTGTGTGTGTGTGTGTGTGTGTGTGTGTGTGTGTGTGTGTGTGTGTGTGTGTGTGTTTTAGTTACAAGTGTTTTAATGTTGCATATGATGAAAGGAAGAAGTCACTTCGTGTTCTGGGGAGAGGAGCTGGACGTTTTGACTTTCCAACGGTCGTTAGCGAAGAGACAGAAAAGTTTCTGTTGAATTCTGTGATAACTTTTATTAATTTATTTTATTTTATTTTATTTATTTATTTATTATTTATCTTTTTGGTCTATTTAATTTATTTTAAACAAAGTTTTAATGTTATTTGTTTTATTTTATTTTATTTATGATATTTATTATTATTATTATTATTTTATTATTTTATTTATTTATTCATTTATTTATTTTTATTATTATTATTATTATTATTATTAATAATAATAATAATAATAATAATAATAATAATGTCCCTACAAAGATTTCTGAGCGAGATGAAATCATGGATGACACCTATTTTTTGTTAATCACTTCACCCCAAACAAGGAGATAATAACACTAAAACGAAACAAGCTACGTCGAGTGAAAATGAATGAAAAGACGAAGGAACCGGAAACCGAATCCTAAACAAAGGATAAACCTCTACTCTTGTTGAAAAGACTGTGGAGGAATGTGAATGAGCGTCTAGATCTGACGAGTCTTTTTAAGAACATGACTCGAGTTCTGAGGTTAGTATGTAGCATGTTCTGATGTTAGACGAAACTACCTCTAACGCAGTATATTTTAAGTTCAATTTTCGTATTTGCTGTTAAATTTGTTATAATTTATCCGTGCGCCGAGGTATTTGAAATTCTTAGAATTTATTAATTCTACATACTGATTTTTTTTGTGATGGATTCCCTACTCCCACTCGAAAATGACATTAAATTTTCAATTTTCGATTCTTTAAACATGTTTTATTTCCTCAAGGACACATGACACAGTGGATAAAGGCGTTGGTTAGATCCAGTGACAGACCCAAATAAGGTGAGTTCAATACTTGGTTAAGGCAGTGGAGAACTTTCAGAGGGAAAATTAGCAGGAGATAACTGATATCCATCAAACATGGCACGTGGAACTAGAACAGTCTACCCCAGCGATCGAAATAAAGGGTTCAGTTCGAAATTCCAACCACCTGAAGAAGGCCGGAGCGTACAACGGCCGAAACGTTGTGACAAATATGGCGACAAAGATGAGGACAATAGTCCGACTAATGTAAATACTGTATAATGTTTTTATTTAATAAAAAAAAAATTACGAACAACAAAGGGATCAATTTCAAAATCGCACTGAAAAAAAGAGTAATTTAAAAAATATATTCAGTTTTTGTTTTGTTTTGTTTTTTTTTGTATACTCTGAAAATATATAACATGTTTTATTAAATCATGCCAACGCCAACTGCTAGAAAAAATTATTTCATGAGTTTTATTGAATTTTATCGGTAAGATACGGACTAAATTTTCTGTATGTTCACACTTGATGTTGCATAATTTTTATATGAAATATCTTCATGGACTTTTCTATAAAAAAAAAAAAAGACAAATATGGGTTACCCCACTTAGCTCCGTCGAAAGCACTCGTTAGGGGATGCTCTTTAAGTCTATAAAAAGGTAATCATATTCTGTCTCTTTTTATTTTTTAACTCCTGCTTCCAGATGTAGTCGGTGTAAATAAAGAACGCTGCCGACAAAGCTTTCTTGGTCCTCTGTTGACTTTGGAACACTTTCACACACGTACTTACACACACATGCCTATCACACATACATATTTCACACACTCGCAAACAAGCACATTCTTATAACCAGTTTTAATGATACTTCCTTTCATTGCAATTGTGCACACATGTAATTCTTTTTCTTAATAACATGCATTGTCGTTTTTTTTATTTTTTTTATTTTTATTTTTACTCGGACTCATATGAGTCTGCCAATAATATTTGCGGGATAAATCGTCCATATACCTCGCAACCAAAGCGGTAATACCAGCAACATAATGATCACATTCCTATCCAGACTTACTAGTATCCCACAGAATATACACCCTTCAAATTAAAAGTACGTACAATATGTCGAAAAGAGAGGTGAAACTGACTCTCACCCTAAAAAAAAAAAACAAATATTCAGTATGCAATTTAATGAATAAGTAATGAATATTCGATTTGAATCGGGTAATTCTCTAATTTTTAACAAAAAACAGAAGTTAGATTTTTTTTTAAAGAAGTTAACGATTTTTTGTCTTCATTTCCGAAAAAAAGCATCCCATTTTGATTGTTCTTAGTATGTGTGCGTGTCTGCTTTTATTTAGGGACGTCTACTAAATTTTCGATAACTAGGGTTTAAAATGAATTTTTCAAAATGAAAAAGCATTCTTGAAGCTTTCTTTTAGCTTTAATTGAAAGCTAACCGATTAAATTTACTATTTTCAGTAAGAAAGATACTGTTGTGTATTTTTTTTAAAAAAGTTATATTGATTGGAATTTTTAACTTTTTAGTCGCTTTCAGAAATTCGATAAAAATCGATGAATATCGGCCATTTTGACACATTTGTAAACAAAAGTTAATTCTCGGTTTAAAAAAAATCCTCCAAAAGTAAAATATATATTTGTGATACGTCATTTGAAAAAAATTAGCAAATTTAAAGTTAAATTAATCTGATTTGACGCAAATACTACTTATAGCATAAAACGTAGTATGCAAGCATTTCTTACTACGGGGTCTTGTTTTTCTGACGGGTTGGTTGATTTATTGGCAGCCTAAACTGTTGACAGCTAAGTATGGTTGACCAGAAATTGACATAAATCTAAATGAACAATTTGTCTCTGGTTTTTAATTACGTTTCCAGGTTCTTTCTTAAGTGAAACTAAAAAAAAATACTTAATTGAAGTATGACCCACACTAAAATAAATGCATAAAATAAAAATATTTAGTGAAATGGGTATTTAAAAAAAGTAAAAATTCCTTTAAATTTTAAAGTTTAAAATTTTGAACGATTTGCAAAGCCTGTTAAGACGCAAACACAATGAATCACAGAAATGAAAATGAAAGAATTGCAGACGGCCAAATTTTTTAGGGAGAACAACTCATAAAACACGGACATCCATACTTATGAAAATGGGAATGTCTCTACACTAAAAAAAGATTAAAAATTATTTTTAAAATGTTGGTGCAAAACTACTTTCATTAATCTTTTCAATTTTTGATTCATAAATATAGTTTTCATTTAATAACAATATCACCTAACTGGATTGAAGTAATGCATATTTTTAAACGATTTAATTCATTATAATTAAAAAAATTTTAAAAATGTTAACAATTCTTGTAAAAATTTATTATTCATCGAAAAAAAATTTTCTTAAGAGAATAGTGTCCTTAATAGATCTTATTTATAAAAGCAATTAAAAGATTTTCTAATTAAATAATGTCATTGTTTTATTGCATTTTTTATTTTACGATTCAAAACAGATTTTCTTGAAATGTGTAGTAATTTGAAAAAAATTATTGATTTACATTCTTCAAGGATTCTTGCTTTTAACTAATAAAAACAATTTTGAAATTGCAATTTAATTTCTCGAAATTTCATGAAGTAAAGTAGGTGAGGGGGGATAACATGTGTAAAAAAATGTTTTTACCAAGATTTTCTAAATTTTCAAAAATAATTTCATTCATTTGTGAATAAGTCCTGAAAGTTTCGTTAAAATCCGACAATTATTTGATTTTTGCAAGAATTTTCAAATCAATGATTTCACCTGGAAAAAAGCGAAAAAATAATAATTGTAATTATTATGTCGACCGATGACGAAAAAAAAAAAACAGATTTTTAACCAAAATTTCGAACCTGCTAGAAATTATTAAAAGTTTTAATAAATAATAATAATAAAATTCTTTGGTCATTCCTTTTAATAATAACAAACATTTAGACGATAAAACTATGCTGTTTTCTCAACGACATAGTGTAAGATATTTTTATGAGTACTTAATTCACGGTAATCACGAACGTATATGTGTCGGTGTGCATGCGTAGGTAACGGTGTGTACGCGTACATGACTACGTCTGAATATGTGTACTAATGAGTATATTCGGATGCATATGTTTATGTTCGTGTGCACAATGCTGTGACCAGTATGTGCGAGTGTATAGTGTGTAAAATGCATGTGGTTTTCTCCATGAGAGTTGTGTGTGTGTGTGTGTGTGTGTGTGTGTGTGTGTGTGTGTGCACATTCAGTCAATGACAATGCATTTAGAAACATTCTAAGTGTCACAAGACATTATTAATCATTAGTTCTTGTTGTTTTCTGTTTTCACATTATGGAATTATATTAAAAATCTCACAACACAAGTAATTCTCGTAAGCAGATAATAAATAACAAGGGAAGTAAGTCATTTTTACCTGTTAATTTATATCGAGTTGCTTCCCTTTAAATTACCAGGATTTTTTTTTTTTTGTTTTATTGCTGGTTTTTCAGAGCTTAGGTAATTATGTCGCTCCACAACTTTTTCTTGCTCTAAATAAATTCTGACTTTTTACCATTCGTCTTTGTCTTTGTAAATTCATTAACTAGACTACTCCGACCCACTACCGGTTCCCGTACGATCACCGAAGTTAAGCAGCATCGAGCTTGGCCAAGTACCTAGATGGGTGGGTAACCTCTTGTGAATGCCAGGGGCTGTAAGCTTGGGTGTGAGGGTGGTGTGATTATGGCCATATCATACTGAAACATTGGTTCCCGTAAGAGTACGGAAGTTAAGCAACGCCAAGCCTGGTCAGTTTCTAGATAGCGGACCCATTGGGAGTACCAGGTGCTGTAAGCTTGGATGTGCGGAGGTGTAATGGATAATGGTTTGGAATTGTTAATAGGAGGGCCGTGTTCGAATTCCAGTTGGGTTCGTTATATTCACTGACGCGCAAATTCCCTTGGGAAAGGTATGAATCCACCTCTTATTTCTCAGCTATGGGTTAATTAGTAAGACTTGTGTCACTAAAAACATTATTATCTCCCCTCAACCAAAAGAATATTATGATCTAAAAAAAAAAATTGGCTTTAAATAACTTGCAAAGGGTTGATAAACCGTAAAAAACGAATCAATATATCCTGCGAGTGTTAAAGTTTTCTGATCCTATTTCCTCATTTCGCTGTGTCTTCCATATTGTCTGTATCAGCCGTCTTGTAGTTCCTCTTTTCTTTAAAACTTCCTCATTATTAACATATTCTGTCCATAATATTCTCAGAATTCACGAATGCAAATACATGTCTGTCGATTCAAGTCACTTCTTCGTCTGCCAGAAGATCGTCCAGCATTCACTGGCCTAGGACAGATTAAATACTACATAGCAGTCCTGCATTCTTTTCTTTCTTTCTTCGTGTCCTGGGTTTGACGATAAACTATATCCGGCATCACGGTCTCTTTTCGAGAGGTTTTTAGAAGCGTGGAATTGCTGATGCTCCAAGTTCCACCCTGACCCGGGGTGGTAGCACTTGTTAGGGTTCTAGCAAACTGGTATCAAAACACTGTGAAAGTATAAAAATAGATTTTCATAGTAAAAATACCAGCAATACATTTTTGAAAAACAATTACCAGCGATACATTTGATTTTCGACAAAAAAAACTCATTACAGGAATACATCAAAGAAACTTGATCGACAAACTTATTTCTTACAAAGAATATATATTCCATTCATATGAAAATATGTTTAAAATCTTGTCGACATTAAATAACCCATTGAAGTTAATAAGCGGTAAAACAAAATAAACCAAATTAAAGCATCTTTTTTTTCTTTTTAAGGACATTTTCGATACTACTATAGTATGATATCCATCATCCATTTCTACTATAGTATGATATCTACCATCCATTTTTTTACTATATTTGTTTGTTTGTTTTGTTTTGTTTTACGGCATATCAACCTCAATGGGTCATTTAATGCCGACGACTTCTTTTTTCTGATAATATTTTTGTTTTGTTAGAAATCCATTTCTATCAATATCTCTTTCCTCAGAAATATATAGCTGGTAATAGTATTTTTCCAAAAACGTATAGTTGGTTATAGTATTTTTAAAAAACGTATAGCTGGCATATCTTTTCAAAAACGTATTGCTGGTAATATTTTTTCTTTCAAAAATTTATTTCTGGTAATAATTTTTTATTTATTCCTCTACAATTCCATTGAAGTATCTTATGTGTATTTGTGATCATTGTTTTCCTGTTTGGTTCATTGGATTACTTTGTGTTTTAAGGTTTGTTTAGGTTTTTCCTTTTCATTGCTGGCAACATTTAGTTTTCGAAAATGTATTGATGGTAATAATCTCTTACATGGAGTTTCTGGTATCAAAACCCATTTTTACACTTTCACAGTGTTTTGACCCCAGTTACAGTTCCATTGAATAAGGTTTTGTTAAAAAACGTATAGCTGGTGATATTTTTCTTCTTTTTTTTTATACGTATAGCTGGCAATATTATTTTTCAAAAATGTATAGCTGGTAATATTATTTTTTCAAAAACGTATAGCTGGTAATATCATTTTTCCAAAAACACACTGCTGGTAATATTATTCATTCGTAAACGTATATCTGGTAATACTATTTTCCCCAAAAAACGTATAGTCAACAACCTTATTTTTTTCAAAAACGGCCTTTCTGTTGGACGTAGTTTATCGCCATACCCAGTATGTGGATGTAGTTTATCGCCGTACCCAGAACGCGGATGCAGTTTACCGTCATACCCATGGACGCAGATGCAATTTACCGTCATAACCATGGACGCGGATGCAGTTTACCGTCATACCCATGGACGCGGATGTAGTTTACCGTCATACCCATGGACGCAGATGCAATTTACCGTCATATCCATGGACACAGATGTAATTTACCGTCATAACCATGGACGCGGAGGCAGTTTACCGTCATACCCATGGACGCGGATGTAGTTTACCGTCATACCCATGGACGCAGATGTAGTTTACCGTCATAACCATGGACGCGGAGGCAGTTTACCGTCATACCCATGGATTCGGATGTAGTTTATCGTCATACCCATGGATTCGGATGTAGTTTATCGTCATACCCATGGACTCGAATGTAGTTTATCTTCATACCCAGGACGTGGGCTAGACTGTAGTTCACTATTTGCCCATAGCTGGGACCCTAACAGGTGAACCTGGGAACACCAGCAATTAAGAGGTGGTTCCACGCTCCTCAAAACCTCCTGATCAGAAGCCTTGCTGTTGGATGCAGTTTAACGTCATACCGAGGACGATTTTTTACTATAGTATATCTACCATCCATTTTTACTATAGTATGATATCTACCATCCATTTTCTACTATAGTATGATATCTACTATTCATTTTCTACGATGGTATGATATTTACCAACTATTGGAAGTATGTATTATGTTAGGGTTAGGGGTTAGGGGTTAAGGTTAAAGACAGTGAACAGTGAACTGGTTATATATTAAAAATCATTAACATAATTTTACGCAAAAAAATTAAAACATCAAATAGTGATTTAAATGTTTGTAAACTGATTTGATGTCATCGTTTTTCCTCGACATTTTCTAGCAATAATGAGTGCTTCATCATTTGCAGTAGGTCGCAAATGCCTCGGGAGATATCATAGTAATACCCATTTTCTATCATGTAATATTTTTTCTTAATTTCAGGAAGGCATTTTCGCTATTCCAATACGCCTTCGAATTTCATTGCAATATTTTCCGTTGTCTATTACTGAACTACCCAAATAGATATGTCGGAGTTAGCTCCTCCTTAATTCCCTATTTGTTCACTAGGGGTCGCTCTCACTACACTATAAATACTGGGCAACTTCTTGCCTCGTTCTCTTTCTACTGAATTTGTTTCGACAGTTAGTTGGCGATTCGTTTCCAGCTAAGCTGGTCGAACTCTCTGCCTTCGGGCGGAGAAGAACCCAGACGAGGCTATGCCGAAGGGCAGAGTCTCGTCTGGGGTGGTAGACAGCTACCCGACCCCGTTTTATACGGGGTCTACGGGGAATTTTTGACCGATCCTCCGGGCTCGGATACCCCACGTTAAATTCGGCCTTGTGCCACATCTGACCGCATGGGGCGGTTGGCAAATATACTTTCTACTTTGCATTTCAGCGGACACAGTTAAAAATGTAATCCCTCGTAGAAATCCGCGTTTGGCCAACTTCTGGGAAAACGCCATGAAGCACACATACACGTACGCACGAACTTTCACCAAAATACAAACTCTTTACGTCCACACACAAACACAAATGTTAATGTCTTTGTCACTTGTAAATTTGTTGTTTAATACATATATTTGTTGACATATATACATCGGTCTTGTTTGCTTTCTTTACATCTTCGGTTTTAACAACATTTACCGGCCTGAATGTTTATAATACTGTTTATTATAAACAGAGAATTTACTTAAATATTTGTATCTATATAAAAAGAACGTATAAATATAAAAAATGTCTTAAAAAGTAATTGTCGGACTTTGTCCATTTTATAATATATGTGTGTGTGTCTGTGTTTCTGTGTGTATGTGTCTTGGGGATCGGCTCCAGGAAGGTTTATAGACGAGGAAATACTTGTAACAGCTAAGTAGTGAGGTAATATCAAATAAACGGCTGAATTAGATAGATAGCTGACATTCACGTCCCTATAATTGAAGCCAATTAGATGACCGTCCAAAGGCGAACACGTATTTTCAGGGTATTTTTTAGGAAAAAAAGTGTTTTCTGTCAGCCCGAAAACCTATATATATATATATATATATATATATATATATATATATATATATATATATATGTATTTGGTTGGATAGATGTGAGTTTGTGACCCTGAGTTTCACGCTTTGGCGATCGTCAGGGTTTGTCTGACGATCGCCAAAGCGTGAAACCCAAGGTCACAAACTCACATCTATCCAACCAAATATGTTAGCTCTATCTCTGATATTGAGCGCTTTCTAATAAGTACCGCGCATATAATATATAAATAATTATACATATATATATTTATATACACTTTTCACATTTTCTTTATTTTTGTCGGTATTAACATGGTTCGGGTTCCAACTTATTTTTACCATCTATCTCTTTTTAAGTCCTTTTGGAATTTGTGTTTATTATTATTGGAAATGGGAAAAGCGTCTTTTGACCATTTCCGTATATATATATATATATATATATATATATTACCATCAGCGGCGGGAGTCTTTCTGGTCTTGTCTACTATGTCATTGTCATATAAACAAAATCGGACGAGTGATTAATGTAAACAAAACGCGGCGCCAGTATGTAAGGGACGCATGTGTTGTTGTTTCTTAGAAGTTTCTTTTCAATATTAGGGTGCGTCTTCCAAGCCGCAGTCTCCTGAAGCCAGAATGTGTGTATATATATATATATATATATATATATATATATATATATATATATATATATATATATACATTGAGCACTATTTTGTAAAAATAAAAAAATTAAAAATAACTATAAGAACACCGGATTATATATATCTTGCTGTTCTTTCTTTATATATATATATATATATATATATATATATATATATATATATATATATATATATTAAAAACAGAGTATTTAGAAAGCAAGAATTTCTGCTTTATGGTGGCTTTCTCTCTGTAACTCCCACTTTATTATTCTGTCTCTCTTTTTCATGCACCTAGCATG